TGCTGGAACGGGGCTGAAATTGATTTGTCGTGGTTCTCGTGACCCTTAAGGCAGGAACCAGTGAAGGGAAAACAAAAAAAAGACCTTTGACAAGCTGAACATTGAAATACAGAAGAAAGCTCCACAGGAATTTTCTTGTGTTGAAAACATAGGTAACCTTCAAAAATGCATTTAATATCTATAATAATAATTGTAACTGTATAAATTCAGAAGTGTGAATTCTATTGAAAAGTATTCAATCATCGAATTTTAATTTTGTTGTCTAGTATTTTTTGAATTAGGTTGAAATTTGAAATAGGCGTTAATATTATCTAATTATGAATTTAAGACAACTTATACGATAAATAAGCTTGTAATTTGTAAAAAGCCATCACATTCTAGTTTGTAATTCAGATTAGAGCTAAAGCTCTACATAAATTTCTAATAAACGCCATTAAATTATAATATTTAAAACGATTATTGAGAGAGCTAATTATATAAGCAACCTGTAGCTTTAGAATTGCTACATTTACAAATTTAATTTAATATTTCACACAAGTTGTAAAATTAGAATTGCTATATTGACAACATTAAATTTGATATTCTTACTAAAAAAAAATTTTCCTAAAATATGTAGAATGCCATTAATAACAGTCTAATAATCGAGAAAAACTTTTATCATTAAATTAGAATCGGGATATGTTCCTCGACCTGAAATTTTAGAATTATAATATTAAAGGGTGAGAGAATATTTTTCTCAAGCTGTAGTTTTAGAATAAATATTAAGAGTATTAGACTAATGAGTATTTTTTTTTATTATCAAAGATATACAATATTAAATTTATAGGAATAGAGAGAAAATTTTTAACACCATTTAGTTTTTTTTGTTTACCTCACTAAAAAATGGTAAATTTTGCAAATTTTCAAATTCACCAATAACGGGTCTGATACCAACTGCTCGACGTTAAGGACAGCTGGATTTTCCTAGTCAGCGCGGCTGGAATATGAATTGGAATTTTCCTAGCCAGGGCGGTCAGAATATGGATGCTGGATCTTCCTAGCCAGCGCGGCCGGAATATGGATGGATCTTCCTAGCCAGCGCGGCCGGAATATGAATGGTTTTCCTAAGCTCCCTACGAATTTCTATCCTTTTATGGGATGTTAAGAAAATATAACAAATATTGGAAGTAGAAAATCGTTATTAAGATATTCTAACATAATTTGAACTTGGAATTATTAAACATAACCTTCTTCAAAAAAATGGTTTATTTTTAACTATTATTTAGCTACCTCTGAAATAACCGCGAACTAGCTGACACTTAACATTTTAATCATAAGTGGCTCAAATCTTTAAAGGACAATTTATTAATCATATAGGAACAGACTTGAGGGTATTCTTTCAATAAAGGGGATAGTTGCATTTTAAATTCATTATTACAAAAAAGGATATAATATAATATTATACTAAAACAAAAAATCAATCTATAAAATAAGTAAATATTCATCATCAAAAAAATTGATTATCGATTTGATTTGCAAAAAAATTCTAATATTTGATTCCATAAACTATCAAATTTTAGTGTTTATAAGTAAATACAACTAACACAAAATTCAACTTTATCAACAAAATATATATCCAAAAATGTTGTAATACATCTGAGAATCACTTAATATTCAATTTATTGTCTACAACTCTATGAAGAAACTTACTTTAAATATGGGAATATTTAGGCAAGCTCAAAATTTTTATCTTTAAAAAAAATCCCCAAATATTTAATGTAATGAAGAAAAAATAAGAATATTAATGTCTAAAAACCCCATATCAAAAATAACGAATGAATAATTACTAAATATCAATCAAAACAAACTAGCAAATAATTTAAACTCTGTCCAATCCCCATAACAATTTACCTAAAATTATTTTTTGTAATCCTAGCATATTTACCACTTGTATTTCTATCAATGAGTTTAGATGTGAGTAAAAAATAATTATAATTAACTCTAATGTATTACTATTTTCATAAAATTATTATAAATATTGGTCAAATTCGCAAATATTGCCAAAATAACCAGGCTATTTCTGGAAGAGCCAAGCAGCGATTAGTTTTATAATAAGTGCTTTGATGGTAACATATAAGTAAAGAGTAGACAATATAAACAAGTATCACTTCATCAAACTGTGAGTCTTATGCTGCAAAAAAATGAAATACAGCAACACAATCTTTAGGTTTTAAATGCGGACTAGTATGTTGAATTAGAAGAAGATATCATGATGACTTATATACGTGTAAGTATTCAAAATGCACAAATTGAAAATTAAATAATCAAAAGCAGCGTAAAATCATGTATATTTGGCATTTACTTTGTGACATTTTGTATTACTAGATTAATAGGATTTGCATTATTACTCATATGAGTATTATTCCATGGTCTAGGTTAGCTAAAATTACATAGATACAATCCAAATGTGTATTTTCATCCAAAGGTAATAATTTACTGCATTAAGTTAAACATATTGAGTGAACATTATACCCTAAAATTAATTAATTCGAGTTAGGAGTAATTAGTAGCTGAATTTGATTCTTGCAAAGAGATGAACATTGATTATAATGATTGCGAGTCGAAGGAAAATATGAAAATATTGAGCATGATGTTGTCAATTCAACTTTGCAACCCTTTAATACAGAGTATATTGCTTTGCTAAAGAATGATTTTTGAACTACTATTTTGGTGGATATAGTTATGCATTCTTTACAAAAAAATCTTAAAAACTAAATCTATGCAGAATCGAAATTGCAACTAACCTTCGAAGATTTAACTAAAAATGTTACAATATTCTGAGGGAGTCTAATAGGAAAAATAGATTGCCAAAATTACCTAATAGAAAAATTACTAGCCCATTGAAAGAGGTAAGTAAACAGTAAATTCAATAAAATTATAAATCATTAGAGAATAATTTCAAGAACAATACAACTATTTTGATCCTCAAGTCTTACTCCAATTTTATTCGTAAATAACACAATTTAGATAAAGATGAATTAAATTTCCTAGGAAATCTATTGAACAGAACAGAAAACACACTAAAATATATGATAGCTTGATAAAAGGAGGGTATCACCTTTCTTTTTTACAATTAACCAACATAAATTTGATAAAATATCGACAACGATATAATTTTTTGAAGAACTGATAAATGTTAACTGTTGAAATTGACCTTGCCTTTTTAAGCAACGAGAAAAAATCTTGATTCCACACTAGTGTCTTAATTACGCTTCTTAGAATATAAATCTCCAAATTAATACAAATAAATCTGCCAATATAAAGAATAACTAACACTTGAATCACAAGAATTTTTCAATATACTTAGTTATATTGATTGGGTGTAGATATAAATGAAAGTTTAAAATTAATATTCGCATATCTTTGTTATTAAATCAAAAATAAATATAAATAAAGAAGCTATTTTTTTTTTTATACCAATTTTATCAAGGAAAATCAGTTCTAGCTTCTTATTCATAACAACTCTTTAATACTATTTAAATTATTCAATAAAATTTGTAAACTTTTGATTTATCAGTTTTTAAATGTTCGTATTGTTTCTTCCACATATTCACCACAATTAGGACAATTTTAGTAAGGTTTAGAACAGTCATAACATAAATTAAAATGTCCACAAGGAGAAAAAAAAGTATCAATCAATTATTTTTTGCATTCTTAACATTATAGTGAATCATTGCCTTTAGAAATGATAATTTTTGATAGATTTGAACACTTTTTATTTTTTTTCTTATGCACTCTATAAATATCATACAAAAAATAACTAAAAATAAATAAGCTAGCGAGTAAAAGGCAAGACTATTTTATTATTTACAATTTCAGATACTTTCTCATCATCCCCAAATCACCTATAAAATATTGTTTGTAACATCGAACAGATTTTGTATTTTTATTAATAATCAAATCTCCTATAATAAATATAGGAGTACCAAACTAATGAATAGAGGAATAAAGTACCTAAATTCTATATTCTACTATGTTTGTAAAAAATAATTTATTATATCCAAAAACTTTTAATATTTTGTCATATTTAAAATCCCTGCCTTCTACTTTTTCATAAATCTTAGACTTAAATATGATATCTGAACATTAGTTAATTTGAATATTGTCATCTTGAGAATCTATTAAGAGGAAGCATGGATCATTTAGAAATGTATTTTATCTTTTCAAAGCCAAGAATTCTCTATTTAATTATATTTCACTAGGTAATAAAGATAAGTTTTCTTGTTTTGTTTTTCCATAGATTATTTGCTAGTTTAAAACTTATAAAGAACCATTTTCAACTAACTTTTGCTGAATATTTTATTTTTAATTTATAGGTTTGCTACAAGATTTCCAATTTCTTATTAAGTATTTGAAATTTTTAAATTAATATTTGATTACCTAGTAAATGAGTGTTATTCCACCTAATGAATAGATTAGCCGTAAAATATAATAATTTTGTAATGAATTTATATTTTACATTTATTATTTAAATATTTAAAATCTCTAAAATAGAATCTATAATGGGAAAAAAATGAAGATTAGCCTATGAATTCTTTATAAGTTGCAACCAAATAATAATTAATCCAAGGTAAGTCTTATTATTTTATTTGCTAGAATAATTTTTATATATATTATATATTGGATGAGATAAAAATGAAAGTATGTAAAACACTCATTAGACAGAATTAAGGTGAATTTATTGACGATATAAAGAGATTAACATTATTAAATGTAACTAAATAATACCTGAGTATGTATTATGAAAACGATAAACAGAAATCATAGTATTTTAATCTGAAAGCTTGTACTTAATCAACAATCATATCGATATTATGAAAAAAAACCTCTATAGAGAGTGAAGGAAATATTGTGTTTTTTCTTTTTTCATTCTTTATCATGTTATAGTTGAAATTTTGATGTATTAAGAAATTTCTAATGTAATTTGGTTGCTAATCTAATATTTCAATTCAAATATCTCAAATAATTAATTGCAATGTGTTGGTAAAATTTAAATCTATTTGTTAAATATAAGTATATTTATTACCAAGTTTAATAAATTATGATATTTAATATTTAAATCAATTCTTTCAGATAATAAAGTAGAGTTAAATTAATCACTAGTTTTATTCAAACAGTAGACACTTTTTATTTCTATTATATCAACTGCAAATTCTAGATTACTTTGTTGCAATATTTTTAAACTTAGCAACTAAATATATAAATTTCAAAATCAATTCATTTTATCTATCAATTTGTTGATTTTCTAGGTCCAGAATATTGTTTAAATATAATTAGTATTAGCAATTTAGAAAATTAAAAAGCTCTCTTTATCCCATTAGATATCAGAGAACTAAATTTCAAATAACAATTTTAACTTATATCAAAAATATTTGTAATGTTTGGTTAACACCACTCTTTAATTACTTTTGGCGCTTCATTAGACTTATGAAATAAGACCAAATGTAAATTATTTTGATATAGATTGTTATTTCTACCTAATTTAGAGTTGTTTCTCTTAATCAAAATTTATATCACTTACAGGATATATCACCATCCTATTAAGCCTGCGTTTCTCAAACGATCAGAACGTGAACTGACTCAATATTTTAAAAAAATTCTACGGTGGTGATAACATAATTTTATTTATATATTTATTGTATATTTCATTTATTTTGATTTTTCTTGACCAATAATGGATTATAGATTTCTGGGGCTACTACTAATCCCAAACCAAAATAAGTCACAACAGAATTTCTCACAATGGGCATTAATCCAGATGAAACTATATAAGCTATACATATTTGTTATACATCCTTTTGTAATGGATACAATAGCTAAGGTACTTAACCCAAGAAAAATTAGCCTTTGATTTTCATTTCCTAAATTTAATATATTATTTTATTTGAATTAAGTAAATCTTTCCGGCCATTAGTCATATTTGTTGCGTAATGGCTGATAAAAATTATTTTTCCAATCATCAAAAGGAATTTGGTTTATCGCATTACAAATTGGTTATTTAACATTTTCCTTAATGGAATTGGCCACTCCTGACACAGAATCTTCAACTTAATCAACCCAAGTTCTAGCTTAATTTGACATAATCTAAAAAATATTTTAAGAAAATTAATATTGTAATGAAAAAAATATTTTAAGTGATGATATTATAATGACTCTAATTTTTCATATGCATAACTCTTTAAAGAAGGTTTTTTTATATCTTATATTATTTAATTATACATTTTTGATTTGATGGCAGTCACTCAAACAACTTAGTGAATATCCTAGAAATATTAAGTGTAATCACATCAGATTAAAATAGTATGGTGGATAAGTCTTTATAGATTTTTGAACTCAATCAAAATTATTTGCAAAAGGCTGATTAACTTTAGGACAGCAGCTAAAATCAAGCACCCTATTTCTGTAATTTTTTGATTATAATTAAAAATTATTAACAAAATATGAAAAGAAACTTCATGCTAACTTCAAATTTCTAGTTATCAATTCAATCACTCTTTTTCATTTTTAATAATTGTGCATATCAATAAAATACAAATTATTTTATTTATTATGAATAACATTGATTTTTTGATCAAATAACAGACCATTTACACATCAAAGCAAAAGGAATTTTTCAAAAAAAAAAAGCTTCAAGTTGAAATTGATGACTTGCCTTAATGCTAAGTTTAAGTAGTAACTTCTCCTAATTAATCAACTAAATATATTTTGTAATTGCAGGAAGCTGATATAAAATAAATCACCAAGTCTTTACAAAATCAATATATGATTGAAATTTTGGAATTAAAAGAATGTCGTTTAAAAACTGTGCCAGATGAAATTTTTAAGATGTAAAAGTTAAGAGTTTTGAAATTGGAAGGAAATTTTATAAAAGTAGCTCCTGTAATAGATGTGGAAGTTTTATCTTTAAAGAATAATCTTTTATTACATTATAAGGCAGGGGAAAATGTAAAAGTCCTGGATCTTTCTTAAAACAAATTACAAGAATTCAATTTTGGGCATTAATTAGAAGAATTATATATTTTTGCAAATGAATTCACGATTTTACCTCAGTTGCCTAAAAGCATAAAAAAGTTGGAATTAGATTGGTTTAAGTATACTGAACCACCTCTAACCTAGATTTAAACTTAACCTTACATAAATTTATTAACAAACCAATCAGTTAATTGTATTGACTTTCTAAAAATGTTTAGTAAGAAGTAGTTGTAAAATAAAATTATCGAAGCATCATTAGCATAGGATCTGGGGGTTTTGAGCAGCTTGGCAGCAATTATGGATATTAATATTTTAAACGAAAATGGAGATACAGCGCTAAGTTTATCTTTAAAAACAGACAATTTGTTTTCCGTTAGACATCTTATAGAATTAGGAGCCTAGTTAGAATTAGGAAGCTATGCTTAAGGAAATATTCTTTCTTTCGCATTAGAAAATAATCTGCCTACAATTATTAATCTAATCTATCCAAAATTGAATTCCTCCTTATTCACTTAGGATGTGTACGGAAATTCTCCTCTGCATTATTTAAATAAATGCGATTATGACGACATCAATGCAAAAATCATTATGAAGGCAAAATAGTTAAATATTTAAATGAACTTTAATATTTATGGCTAATCGCCTATTCACTTAGCCATATAAAAATGTAATTATTTCAATGAAATAAGCTAAGAATTGGTTGCTATCTAATATGCTAAAACATTATAGGATTGAAGCAGATGATTTATTTATGATGGCAGCTAGATATGATAACTTGGGTGCAGTAATGCTTTTAATTAACAATAATTATCCTGTTGAGGAATTCTCAAAAATTGCAATTTGTAGAAATCTCAAAATATACAGAGTCCTTAAAAGTTATGAAAATTATAATATCCAAAAATAATTAAAAAAATAGATGGATTCTAAAAATAATTTCAATTATGAAGTAAAATTGATTCACAAGAAAGATATGCAATCTAGTAATTTTCTGAGACAAAAAAAAGTTTAAGAAGACAATAATATTGATGAGAATCAATCTCAATCATAAAAATCATAAAATTATATAAAATTATTGAGGTAATTTGTTCTATTTTAGACATTGTTAACGAAATAGTAGAAAAATTATTTGATAAAATAAATGATTTAAAGGATTTGTGAATTAAAAATAACTAAAATTGATTAAATAACAATTGTTTCTGATATTTTATTGACTTTACATTTCATTAAAGAAAAATAATTTCTAAGCGAACTTTAAAAAAATTATTAAAATATCCTTTAAGGTCATTAATACTTGCTTTAACATGTTAACTCTTTAAAAACAGATGACTCACTGATTTAATATGAATAATTTCAGTAATGATTACCTTTATTTGTATTAAATTCATTATCAAAGAAAAATTTGTTATTATATATTCATAAATTTGTTTGCTGTTAAAATATCATAAATATTTAAAAGATTGTAAGCAGTATAGAATCAATAATTATTCAATGAAGAAGGGACAAATTACTAGAATTTAATTTTCGATATACTGTCAATCAAAAAATAATTAAAATTGAAAATTTCATTAATATCAACCACTTTTCTAACTTATCTAAGGAAATTTTATTTAATAACCGCTCTACCCTTTATCTTACTCATCATCAGAGACTGCAATCAACTCTATTCTTCTTTTTTTCCGATTTGCACAACCAATATTTGACATACATGTCTATTGTTATTTTACATTTTGTGAAAAATTACTTAATTTTTATGCCTAAACTGGTTCTAAAATTCCTTACTTCTTTAAACCTAAGCCAGACCCACATTCAAATCCATATTTTTTTAAGAATTTTAGTCCCATTCCATATTGATGATCTTCGATTTTCTTCTCTAGTTATTATTTTTCTCGCTCAGTCACAGTAGTTTCTTATGCAATGGAGAATTTTTGTTGCACAATATTCATCACCAAGTATTCATTTTATTTTAATATTTCTACTTTTTTATTATTCTATTTCAAAATTCCTTTAAGACTTTTATCTCTAACAGCTATTACTTTAATTGAAGTATTTTGGAACTACATAAATTATTCATCATCCTCATCTTCTAAGAAATCTTCTTCCTCCAAAAGTAGCTATTATTTATAGATAGAAAATGGCTTATATAATGACTTTCGTTCTTCAAAGCTCATATAATAATCTGTATCAAAATTAGTAATTAATGATATTTTATTATTTTCTAAATTGAAATGAACGGTCTTTTAATTCCGCTCTAAAGGAATCAATGGATTTCTATAATTGTTATCGAATAATGTGATTTATATATTTGAGTTGTACTAATACAACTATTTAGACTTAGAAAAATTTTCAAATGCTTATTATTTCTTGACAATTTTTGATGAACTAAGAGATTCATCTTCATAATTATAATCGAAGTCACATTCTTGTTAGGATGTATTATTAGAATTTGGGGATTAATTGGAAAGGGATATGTAAAAATTATGTTGATTTGAATCAGAAAGATCGATTTCAATATCTTGATGAGTATAGTGTGAGGATTCCTAGTATACAAAATTCTAGTTCATAAATGCCTTATAATTATTTTATATGATAAATAATTATGATTATTAATACTAAATATAATTAATTAAAAAGTTATGACTCTTTCTGCTGATTAATTTATTGTGATAGCAGTAATTCTATCACTTTTTGGAGGACTAGCCTTCTATTTCATATGGGCTAATAAATAAATGTACAATAAGGGAATTCACGAGTTAATGGATAAGAAGAAAAAGAGGAAAGAAAAATGGGATTTTGATTGATTAATAATTGTTATGTAAAAAAAAATATCGAATATCAACCTCTAAATTTGTTCCTTAAACAAAAACTGAAATTTGATAATATAAGTATCTATTATTTTGGTTTGATTGGGAGTTATTATTAATTAATAGTTGATCAATTTCTAGTCTTAATACTGTTAGTGAAATTTACATTAAAATTATCACATTTACTAGAGCTTTAATGGATTTATCAGTTTAGAAACATAATGATATAAATTATCATCAAAAAGTTTTTATATATATTATCTATTTGGAAACCAGATTATCTATATAGCTTAGTAGATGAATTAAACCTTGCATTTTAACTACTTCTTTTAATTTTGACATCTAAGTTGTTAATTTTTGAATTAATTGATAATATAATATGAAATGCTTTAATCTCAATTTAATTAGAGCCTTTCTCTAAGATATTCTTTTAGTGTGACAATCTTGTCTTAGATATGATCTGAAATTCTCGAAATCAAATCTTGTGTTTGAACTCTTGATTAAGTCTCCATTTAATAGATGTCTTGCTATTATCTACACCATTGATCCTATCCTTCTAAATTAGACTAATAAATGTAATCAAATGAAATACTTAATTTCTCTCAACCTCTGCTGCGTGATATTCCACCTTTCCTTGTGATTCTTCGATAATGCTTTAATAATTCAATATGGCTTATTCAAGATTTTATCTTTAATCAGACCTTAAATATGAGTAATACAATAACATACAAGGTGTTTCTTTCGTTTGTTAAGTCAGACAAAAATTATTACCAATTCAAACTTTACTGTTTTTCGATGTCTTCATCACTAGATTTGCTTTCAACTATTTAAACCCTTAAGTTGGACAACAATTGCAAAACCTTTTTTGCTGTATCAGAATCTGATTTTGCTGATAATTAAGTCATCATTGTGAGAATTGGTTAGAACAACAATCCGCTTGATGTTGATTAACTTAAGTAGAAAAATATAGTATTTACCTTGATAATCTCGACAAAACCTTATTAAATCTTCCTTTAACTTAAATAAATGAAGATCCTCCAGATAAATGTTCAATCAACGCATAAGCTTCATCAATAGCAGCGATAGCTTCAGTGTGATCCTTAATTTTAGATTAAAACTCAGCATATTATAAGTCTCTTTCACTTTATCCAGCATTTGTTTTCTTTGAATTCTCTTCAATCTCAACAGAGACCTCTGCAATTTTGTTTAGAGACCTTTACAAATTGCTTGTATTATCATCAACAATTTTGCTATGAGCTTTCAATTAACTTTGATGATATGCTAAATTAGTAGAAAAATCATGGAGCAATCTGTTACATGAAGCTTAAGTATTTTAGATATAAAGATCAGAATCCTTTTGTTCTTGCTCTAACATGAATCTAAGGATAGCATTCTTATTACCTAATATTATTGATATAACTTTAGATTTCATGGATAGGTGAGCCTGTGGCAAGACTAATTTATAAGGCATTCAAGAAAGTTTTTCCCATATGATTGTTATCTATTTCTGCAAGCACAACTTTTGGATCTGAGGCCAATTTACTTAAGACCTAAATTATAATCAATCGAAATACCAAGCTAATCAACAACGCAAACACGATTCTCATTTTTATATATAATGAATAAAAAAACGAATTTTATTAGTATTACAGTTTAATGTTAATATCTCTAACTAGTGTTTGATAATAAAAACGACACTTACCTATCAGGATATCACCTTACTTAATCCAAAAGATTGTATAACGTCAAAATACATAGAGAAATATAAAAAGAAGATAGATTTTATTATATAATCTAAAAGTTTTTCAATTTTTCTTGATTACAATCTCATATTTTATCTAATTTATTAAAACGTATCTATAGATTGTAACAATGAAATAGAAGATACATCTCTGATTAATAATAAATACACAGCCAAAAGGGAAAGATTTGCAATAAACTTTAAATTGAAGAAAACAGTAATTAAAATGGAAATCAATACATTTGGCTACAAAATTAAACAAAATAATATTCAAATTTGTTAAGATAATTCTTGCATTTTTACAATTAATGGAGATGTAGGTTTCTCTTCAATAGAGGGTAAAGAAATGAAATCTTCATTTCTTTACTTGACTGACTCATCTTCACTTGCTTCGCTGAATGCCTTCTCATATATTTCTTATAAAGTTTCAGTTTTAATTTATTTTTTTTCTTAAGTAATTCTTTCTTTACGATTTTCATAATCGTATATGAACCACCTTTTAAAGTAATGCTCATCCATATATTTGATAATCTTTTGAGCTTCACTTAATTCCTTCTATTTTGGAGTATCATTAAGAACAGGAGTAGGAATTTCACTAATTGATTTACGCTCTTCTTCCTCTAATTGCTTATTAATCTAAATATTAATGAAGAAAGGCATAGCTGTGCCAAAAATCAATGTGGTGACAACAACAATATAGAGAACACAACTTTAAAGTATATTAATTTAGTTAATCTATATACCATCGGTAGGGGAGGCGACAAGAGTTTCGATTAAAGCGAAGGCTACACTTCCTCTAACCATACCAGCAAAACAACAAATACTCATTTCATATTTGGTTAACTTCCATACTTTTGGCCCCTTAATACTAAAAATATACAGCATATCTTACGCTATGAAAATCCAGTACACAATATATATGCTTAAATATCTTGCAACGATTACAACACCCAATTATAATAATGTAAAAACCCAGGAAACTTCAACGTAATAAAGATCTTAGGTGAGTGGACTATAATATGTAGTCTGATTCCACATGGCAAATCCCAAAAAAACATAAAGAAATGCCTCTGCCCCTAACGACAAGGATTCAAAAGTAACTCTTGTAGTAACTCTTCCCAACTAACTAATATTGTATCCTTAATAATGGCTCATCATGATTCCTATCATCAAAAGACTTATCACTCCGCTTAAATTGAGCATCTCACAAATTGAATAACCCATATAAGCCATTAAGAATGCAAATACTGTTTCAGTAGTAGTGCTGTTTGTCAAAAATCTACACTTCTTAAAACACCAAGTAGAAAATAAACCAACAAAAAGGCCAATCAATAAAGATATTATACAATTTTCCAAGAAACGACCAATAAATTCGAAAGGAGTGTACCATTCAAATGATTTTCCGCTTTTCTATAAAATTGTGACTGCTTAAAAAATAATAATAGAAACAGCATCATTAACCATGCCTTCTCCAAAAACAACGCTGAATAATTTAGGATATTATTGAGAAGGTATCAAATTGAGGGCTGCCACTGAATCTGTTGCGCATATCGTAGCACTATATTTGATCATCTCATCATAGCTCAAAGAAAGATGAGAATCTAAATTTGTACCCAATCTGACCAATTCTATATTAATAATTCGCAAATTCTTACTCCACGAATTGAATGCTATTGTCAGAGTCAATGTAATTATAAAGTTAATCAATGTACTCAGAAACCCAAAAGAAACAATATATTTAAAATTTTTCAGAAACTGCTTCTTTTTCAGATTGTACCCTCCTGAAAAAATAATTAATGGTAGAAGTAAGTAAAAGAAGATTGTTGCATTCAATGAAAACTAGATAATAAGATTCTTAGTACAAATTAGGCATATGCATTTTCATCCATCCATTTCAATAATAGACCTACAAGCATTCCTATTATTATGCCAAAACTTGTTTCATGGATTAAATGGAACTAAGCAATCACGACTGCATGCATACGTGAATCGATTTAAAGTATTCTCCAATGACAATGTAAATCACGATGACAATCATGAGTGCAAATGGGACTGCTCCATATTCTGACATTATTTTAATTAATTTATTTTTAATCAATACTTTAAAAACTTTTAATTTAATCATTCTATAATTTACAATAATAAAAGAGGTCACTCTTGATTCCAAAATTTAGCAATATTTATGGTAATTAATTCATAAAATGTTTAATTTGCATTTTTCTTTGATTATCATGTTAAAAAGGTTAGAATTTTAGATGAGAAAATTTATATAATTCACATTGACATAAAATTATACACAGTCAATAATTTTTGTTTTAAAAATTATTAACTACCAACTCGTTAATTCAGGATGTAAAATTAGTTAAAGGAAATTGACATAGGTGTTGCAATAGATTCATAATAATTGAAAATACATTTTAATAAAAAATTTAAGTTGCTAAATTTATCATTCATACTTAAATTGATATCAAATTATGATTATAATTAATGCTAAATACATCTGCATTTTCAGTTTCATATTATTATAAAATAATTAGATCTGATATTCCAGAACTAATATATCGAATACAGTTAAGATGTATTTGCATCAAAAACCATAATATTTTATTTCAAAATAAGCTGGTAATCATCCTCCTGACTAATTAACTATCAAAACATTCAATATTGTTCCAACATCAAGTAACACTTAGGTTTTACTCTGTTGGTGCTTCATTGTGAGAAATTACCCCCAAAAATCAATTTTAGCCATTATGGAGAATAATAAAATAAAAAGTATGAAAAGATTGCCACCAGATTAAATTGTGACAAATAATAAACATCTTTGGAATTTAACTTGGGAAAGTTTTTGAGAACAAATTAAGGTCAAATCAAAAAGCTCTTATCTCTTACCAAAAAAATTTTCCTGTAATCTTTAAAGAAAATGCGATGATTATTCCAAATTGAATTAATTTATTTAAGAGAAAATTTAGATCCTTGATTATTGAAGATATTGACTTGCTAAATTAAGGGAATTAGAAAGATCTAAATGATTTCTAATTAAGCAAAAAATTTAGATCCAGTTCTTATCAATCCCATCTATAAGATAGGAATTTGCAATGATATGATTGGAGAATTTCTTAAAGTAAAATCCATATAGCTATATCAGGCTATGGATTATTTAACTTCTAAAAACGTCTAAAGGTGACTGCTATGATAAGCATGTTATTTTTTCATTCTTGTAGTATCTGGGAAATGGATCTATCATTAGCTGAATATTCAAAAGCACAAGAAATAGATAATGAGACTGCTTGATAGTTATACTAATTTCATACTATCTTAGTTTATCATAAAAATTTTGAATATAATATATATTCTAATTATTTTAATGAATAGGCAAAGAAAACTAACAAATTTTGAAGAATTTAGGCAAGATCACTTTGAAGTAATTGCTGAAGATAGAGCGAAACTTTTTAATTTCTTTTTTGAATATAATAGGCAATTTGGATTTATTAACTAAGATGATTATTTATAGTGCACAGCTGCCTATCTAAATTATAGGGCTAGGACTAGTTTAGCATTATTTGGAAGTCCTTTGGTAGTTTTCATTGCTAACAAAACATTATTCAGAAATTTTTAAAGAATCCCTGTATTTAGGCCAGCTGTCTTTTCCTTCAAATACTTAGGAATACCATTATTATCTTTTTATTTTACAGGTAAATACCTTTGCGAGGATACCGAAAAACTATTTTATGAAATGGCTGAAAAATATCAATTTGGATTTTATCAATACAATCAAGCAATGGATCTTCTAGAAAGAGCTCATAAAGCAAATAGATTAGATGAATTTATGGAATAAGGTACATAATTTGATTGGACAGGAATACCAGAATTAAAAAAATATTGATAATTTATTATAAATAATAATAATCCCTGTAAATTGTTTTTAAGATATATATAATGATAACTTCAATTTTAGTTAGTCTGTAAAATTAAGAAAATCTAAATTCCATTAACTCTTTTTATTTATTAAAACTAGAAAATATTTTAAGAATTACTCTGAATTAATAAATTATGCCAAATATTAATTGAGCTTTAGTCTGAATGTGTCTAATCCTTTTAAGAACAATAATTACGAATAAAAAATAATGTTTAGATTGGTTATTTTACGGAAAAACAAAGACTATTCTAAAATTATTACATAATGATATTTATTATTATTTAGAAAAAGATGAGTAGGGATCGTTAGAAGAGCACTAATGTAGAGAAATTAAGAAAATAATTAAGCACTCCTAATAATTACCCCCTTCTGATGATAGATTTTATGGAAAAGAATTAAATTAGTTAAATTAATACATTTGTTAATCAGATATATGAAAATTTTATTATTTTTATGTCAACTATTTTACCTTATTTGATAAATAAAACCAACAATATTTTATTGTTGAGAGGAGATGTGGGAAAAGCAAAGCCTTCTGTATCAGATCTACCTGATTCCAGTTATTAATATGGGAAGAAGATAAATAGAGATGGGATTGGGATGAAAGAAATTACATCTGATTGGCAGTATGGGAACACTTCGCATCATAAAAAGTCAAAGACTGTAAATTTGCCAGAAGATACTTTTGTTTATGGACTCAGGAACAAGTAACCAAATATCTTAGAGTAGACCTTCAACTCCTTTTGGGAATGTAATGAAAATGAATTATGGAAATGAAGCAGCAGATTTTATAGAGAATATATATCGAATGAGGAGTTAACGAATCCCTAAGAAGCAGATTATACAAAAGAACAGATCATATTCTTTGAGATTAGAGCATAATACCAAAAAAAAAGAAGAGGAGTAGAAAGAATTTAAGATAAAGAGATTTTTAGAAATAAAATCGAAAATATATTAATTATGATTTCTATATTGAGAAATTAGCAATTAAATTTTGTTAGCAGATTCTTCAAGACAACTTTGCTATAGTAGCCTGCTATGAGAAGGAGAACAATTACTCCAATATTTCCACCACCAGGATACAACTTAGCCATACCAGATTGGCCAGTCGAACAATTCATGTTAAGAATCGGAAAGGGCTGCTCCGATTATGGAGATAAATTTGAAAAGCTGACTGAATTATTTGAAGCAGATAGAGTACTTTGTTATTTATATGTAGATATAAATGAAAGAGAAGGGCATACCTCCAAAGGTGAGAAAATATATATTTTCAATCAAAGAGTAATTACGTAGAGGAGTACTTACATTTGAATATTTAGAAAGGAGAACATCAGTCACGAATACCTAAGAAAAAGGCAACAAAAAAATGAGTTTATATTATCATATAGGTTTTATGAGCAAACAGACAATTAGGGGCATCATTAATTACTAGAAAAATTAAATTAAAACTCTAAAGATAATCTCAAGAAATCAATCCATTAGTTGTAAAATGTTGCAGTGATATACTATCTCTTATAAAATTGGCTTCCTAAATGATTCCTTTTGCAACCCAGCTCCCATTTTAATTTTAATAAATTCTAACCTCTCTAGAAGTAACAAAGGCTTAATTTTCATCCATCTTTTTGCTTTCACAAGATACTGCTAAAAGATTAGCCAAAATATTCCAAGAGACTCTATAAGCATGATAATTGGGTTTAGTTTCTCGATTGATATTAAAGACTTTCATTTTTTCAACTTGACTCTCTTTGATTATCTTAATCTACCATATTTTAACTCCTTCAGCACTAGCAGATGCAATTAAATGAAAGCTCTTCCCATTTTGATTTGCCCATTGAACATCATTTATAGTTTTCTCCTCATCAAATTCATAAATCTTCTTCATTCCAAATTTTTGATTCTCATATTCCAACATCCAAATTGCCATAGTTTTTACTTCATTAAAGTGGTCCATTTTTATTTTACTTAAATACTTTTATTGCTCTGCATTACCTGCAGCTACCAGCATCTCCCTTTCTAATGGAGCATGATTCCATGATATTGCTCTCAACCCATAGGTCATTATCTAAATGTCTTCACCTTCCTTGATGAATTAATTCTGCTCATAAACTCTATGAATTTGTAATTTCCCATCGACATACGCTATTGCCAATAATAAGCCATTCGATTTTGAACCAAATTATATGTCAGCCACTGCTTCCTTGCTCTCTAAAATTAATATTCTCTGTTTCCATTATATAATTATTTATTTCTATCCTGATGGATTTTCTTGTAAGAATTTCTTTTCTTCCCAAACACAAACACCTTTGTCTTAACTACAAGTAGCTATCAATTATCCAAATTTAGGATCAGCCCATCTAATCTTCCAGATTGGACCATCATGACATTTGCATTCGGCACTCTTTTCCCATTTCCTATTTAAATCATTAAATATATTTCGTTACCCATTTACTTTGTTGTAAACTCTCATTGTTTGATCGCTGGAAGCTGTTGCAAATCGATTTCCGTCGAAATTAAAAGCTATATCATGAATAATATCCTAATGAGTAGTATCGATAAGCATTATATTAATTTAACGAATATGATTAAGCCAAAGAAGTCTTCACGTGAACTCTGGAATCAATTGGGTTTACGCAATCATATTAAACAAGCCTTTGAAGAAAAGGAATCTACTTGGGGTTAGATCGTTGATTCCAATAAGAAGAATCTAGTATTTCATTAAACTATATTCAGAGCCAAAGATCAATCTCAGAATACACAATCACCTAAAAATTAAAAGAACAACACAATTCCTTCATCAAAAATAAGGAGAAACCTAATACCAAGACTTTTTTAGAAGATTAAATCGAAAAAGGAATTTAGGATAAAGATGAATGGCTGCAATTGGCATCAATAAATGAAAGATCTCATCCTTTTCACCTATAACCAAAAGGAACTCTAATGATCAAACCTTTTCTCCCATAAATAGATTGAAAAATGAGGAATAATTAGTCAGCTAGCAATAATCATTCCAAGTATAAATAGAAAAGACTAATATTTGCAAACTACCAGGCCATGAAAATAATTAATATAAGTTTATATGTGTAGATAATGATTGTCCATATAGGTTGCAAAAAGCATGTGCACATTGTGTTATCAAAATGCATACCAAACATGTTAGTCAAATGAAAGAAATTGAGAATTACGAGCTTTTGATTGAAGAAAATATTAAAAAAGCAGAAGAATTGATGAATTAAAGTTAAGAACTATTTAAAGCAATTTAAAAGCCATATGAAAATTACTTTCTTCAAATTAAAAACTAAATTATCTCTTTGATTAATGAACTTCAATAAAAACTGGTTTAAATTAACAAGGATTAAATCCAAAAGATGATGAACAATGAGATTGAAGTTGTTTAGAATATTAATTCAAAGTTTGAAGCCTATAAATTAATGAATTAATTGATCCCTAATGAAATTATTGAAGAGTATAAAAACATTATTAATGGCATATCTGAAAAGATTAAAATTAACATCAATTTTGATGTTATTAATAAATAAGTGGAATCCTTTGTCATGTCAATCTTCTGTCCAAAAAAACAAAAGGAAAATAAAGAATAAAATGATGATACTGAACTATTACAACAATTCATATCTAGTAATAGAGATACAAATAAAGAGTCAATTCTAAAACCAAATCAATCAATGACTTGTTGTTTGCATCAGTCCCCTTTGCAGACCAAAAAGTAAGTGCAAACAAAACTTGTTATGGGATCTGCGTCTCCATTGAATGTTTTCAATCGTTAGATTAATGGAAGGCAAGTTACAAAAATTATCTAAACACAACCAATAATTTACTATCGAACAAACAGCTGAAATAAATTAAGGACTTTTGAAATATATATATATATCTTTAATATTTGAACACTAATTAACTTAATTACTCCATAAGCAATTAAGATTCTATTATACAACGATGAAGCCTTAGTACTTCAATTGAAGATATCAAAGAGCAATAATTTAACATAATATGGAATCTCAAATATAATGTTTGATTTCCACAAGAATTTGATATTCAATTGAGGATTGTTAAAGAAATTGGGGATGTGGAGGAGAATTTTAAAGATAATTATATTTTAAGTTTATATTGCTAATTAAAAGATATAAATAATGTAAATTATTAAGAGCAAAACAGTGTAGTAATTAGTGCATCGTTCACAATACAACAAGATTGTGTGGCAATCTTCAAACCCATACAATAAGAGATGGCAATACAAATTTAAGAATGCTTATTATACATACCCAAGAGATATTAATCAAGAGCATACATACGTAAAAACCCCCAAAGATAACTGGGAATCAGTACCACTTGGATGGGCATGGATTTAGGATGTATTGCACAGACATGTAAGATTTACAACCTCAATTTTAGGTCCCTAATTTTTCATGTTTAATTGAAAGAAGACATAGATTATTTGATAAATTTAATGTTTACTTCTTGCCTGCATTCAGTCTCTTCTTTTATCAATTTTATCCTTTAGCCTTTGGATTCAAAGTAACGAATTTCAATTAAAAATAGGTTTTAACTGTTTTGCCATTAGCCATGCTATATGTGAGAGCAAGAGATAAATGTGGTGATCCCGATTTTAAGGAAACTTATCTTAGGGATATGCTCTATAAGAATAATGAGATTAACGCTCTCTTTAAAGAAGAAACTATTCATGTATTAGATTACGATTGCGAATATGATCGTGGATATCCATGTCCTGAAAAGTTCCCAGAATTCAAAAATAAGGTATTGATTAAAAATAACTCGTAAGTTTTGGCAATTCTTTAACACTGACACTTCAATGACTACAGGACATTTCAAAATGGCTGATGTTGAAACAGGTGCAGTTATGAATTTGAAATTTAAGACTATGCCTGTCCCAGGAAAATACAGATATTAAATTGGAGAGCCATTCTATTTCTATGATTTGAGAGGTATCCAATAATATTTAATTATAAGCTGAAATAACTCATAATGGCTAACACAAAGAGGTTGTTTTAGTTGATGAGAAAGTCGCTTTATAAAAAATCAGACCATTTTTATTAATTATTTGAAAAATAATATAAGAATCAATCTAGCATATTAAAATTATATTCAATTTCATTACTTTATTATAATTTACGATAAGTATTAGCTATTCTTTATTTTATTTTTTCATTTATCTACTTTTAACTTTATCCTTTATCGTTTGCTTTTAATTCTGAATCTTTCATCAATATTGACTGAGGATTTAAGGATTTTTACTCAGTCCATTCAATAACAAACTCATACCATACCTAATCTCCTATCACTTATCCGAATAAAGAGTATAAAACTAATTTCAATTCTTGAACATCTGATAAATGTCTTTTATTTTAATATAGTTTTAGTACTCTTTTCTATTCTTCCTTTTGAAGTTATTCTAATTATTGCTAAAATTAAACTAATTTTTGATTAAAATCTTTAAAATTTAGATTGCCTTCACTAGGCATATTTTATAATTTAAAATGGGTTTCTTCTGAATCCTGCAATTTGATAGATTCTAATTCTTGGTTTTCCCATTTAATTACATGAGCAAATGATGAAGGATTCATAGGATCTATACCTTAAACAAACACTGGTTTTTTTATGGAAACTCCACTTCTTTTAAGCATTGTCTTCACTTGGCTTTTCAGTTGAGAAACACTCACTGGTTATGTTTAGAATAAACATTACTAAGATTGAGTACTTTTTAAATTAGTAATGTTATGATTTTATTTTTAAGATTGAGACCTAGTATCTTCTATTTATATTTCTAATTATGCAGCCTAAAGAAGATACTGTCTTGATTAATCATCTAAATATCTTGGAAATTGTTCGACTTTAGCGTTTTCATTAATTTTTTTCATTTGTTTAATTATTTAAACTAATCCTTCAGGCATCAAAGATTCATTTGCCTCTTAAAGTTGCTTTAAGAATATATCCTTCAATAGCATCTTGCACCTTCTCTTTTTTTACCTTAATTCATCTAAATCTTTCTAGATTATCTCCTGTTTCTCAGTATTTCTATGCATTTCATCTTTTATTTATGAGATAAATTTTTGAATATTTCTAATTTCTACATCTCTCTACTATCTAATTTTTTCTAAAATCTCCATCATATTTCTTTTTTTTCCTTCTTACTCAGAAACATATCCTAATCTAGCTTTTTCCTCTTTCCCATAATATTTCCTTCTTATTTCGCTTATTTCATCTTCTTTTGCGGTTGCCTTTTACACTAATCTATTATTATCTAATCTCATTTAATAAAGGACTTATTTATTTTCTTTTATTTAAATCTAGAATTATGAAAATGATTCCATTAATTATTTAGCTGTCTAAGAAGTTTATTATCCAGTTTATACAATTTCCACCGAAAACTAATTTGGAGGTCGATTACTGTAATATTTAGCCTTAGATAAGACTATATCGTAATCGATGTATTAAGAAGGATTACTAAAATATTCAGTTAATCCTTTAAAATTATTGAGGGTTGAATTTTTTAATGCTTATGATTAATCTCTAACTACTTGGGTTGTTTCTTCATCCATTTTTTAATGGTTCCAATTTGATTTGCCTTTTCTGCTAATTTACAAATCATCCAACTTCTTTGTAACTTTTTATAATAATAATGAGTTTAAGATATGTTTATTCATTTCTATCCTAACTTAATCTAGAGTTTTTAAGACTGGATTAGAATCCTTGTGTGATCTTAACTATTAAAATTTCACTTAAACATTGGAGTTCTATTCATCTTCTAATGACAAGTTCTTCAACTATTATTTATCTTATGGTTTGAGTATAGAATTGATAATGGTTTAATTTATTTAAGGTCCTCCCTCGCTAGAGAATTCGTTCTCCATGAATTTGTTATCATTTTACTTAACTTATTCAAATGCAAATGCTTTTTTCTTTGAAATCACTTATTCATGCCATTGATCTAATTATTCAAGTAGTTAATCCTATTCATCTTTGCTTTATCTTCTCCTTTGTTTAGATGAGGATTTATGAACAGATTCAGTTGCATCTCCTAAGTCTACAACATTCCTCATTTTTATAATTTTTCTATCTCATAAATATAGTTTTCCTAATACCTTTTGAAATAGGATCAGCCTCTTCAAATTAATTGACAGATCTCTATCTAGGAATTTGGGTTGAGGGTTTCGAATCAAAATTTGATGGAGAATGCATGCTAGAACGAATTAATATATTTTTTTTGTGCAGTTTCATTACAATATTATAATTATAAATGCAAAAATAAATGAGTAAATTAAACTATAATAATAGTTGTATTATTTAGTTTTACAGACAAAATCAAACTGTAGTTTATCAGAAATAAGTCAATACAATAGTAACATTCCTTATAATAACCTTACCAAAAAACCCTAAAGTTTTAGATAACACCCAAATATGTCATTTCAATCCTCTCATAAGTGATTTATGCAGAATAAGCATTACCAATATAGGAGAGTTGCTTAAGATTGAATGATATTTGTTATTCGAACAAATTAAGAAAACGATAGAATGTGTGAATGTTGAAGTGTCCAATAATATTTTTAATAAGCTATTATCGTATGCCGAATTAAGGACTAATATAATTTAGGGATCAATTAATAAATATATCAGAGAATAATAAGAAATTCAGACTGGGCAATACACAACAGCAATTTTATTTAATTATGTTTTTAAAATATAATAAGTTATTCATTACAAGATTAAAAATATCTGATTGATCTTCAAATTTAAAGAATAAAACAATTCAAATTGGAAATAATTTTGAAAAATCTAAACATCTAATACTTGGTATGTTGTTAATTCCATCTAAGCGGAAATATATTACAATGTTATGTATTTTAAGTAAAATAAAACAGATAAATAGGTTATATTTCAATCAAATTGTAAGCCATAATTCGTTATAACAATTTAAAATTAGAATTAGAAAACCTAATTTAAAGAAAGCATTTTTAGAGAGCGAATGCTTCAAAAACCTAATTAACCATATTTCATATTTGAGAACATGCTTTCTTAATGTTATTTAATTCTTATCTATTTTGAAAATAGAATTTAAGTTCCAACTTGGTCATTTATAACACATTATTAAAATAAAGCTTCAAAATTGAAATTATATAAACATTTTTAATAATTTCGAAATTTTACATCAAATAATCATCTAAATAATATCAAGTAATAATAATTTATAAAATTCCTAATATGTTAAATAGGGATAACATCAATAGTCACTTAAGGAAAATATCTAACTTAAATATTGATATCTTTATTCGGATATAAAGACTTGATCTATCAAAACGGAAGATTATATGAAGTATTGAGATATTTTACAAACGCTATGAATCAAATTAAAGATTTTCTTTTTAAATGAAATGCTAATAACAGTAGAAAAAGGAAACCGATACTCCTAGAATTAAAGTCCTAATAGAAACAATGTTATACTGATGCTGGTGTATTTATGAAGTACTAGGCTAGTAATTAGATATTTGAATATTTAATTGATTTTAGATCTTCATTAAAAGTGTATGTAATGTATGACAGTGAGTAATAATTATATACTGAACTAAAAAAAATTCAATTTAACAATTCAAATATTTCATCCTAAACTATGATAAAAAGCTTTATAATGTTCATATCAATTATTATTTGAGTATAAATCGTAAAATTTCAAATTTGTGCAAAAAAAAATTGATCTTTTTGCCAACTTTAATAATAAAACTTGAATAATTAAATGATTAATTCTTAATTTCCCTAAAATTTGGCCATAGTTATAAATAATTTAGTTAATGATATTATTGTTTAAAAAACTAATAAAGCTCGC